CTTTATGAAATGCAAACTATTACTTGATCTGGCCTTTGGTTAGAGGAGTTGAGCCACAGAGCTGTTAAGTAACTGAGATTTCACAATAAGCCTGACAGACCAGGGTTCAAATTCTGGGTCTCATGTTATCCCGTTCAGTATTCCAGCTTTGTTACTTATTGAGCAACCACTACAAGCATGGTTTATGGACATCTGATAGTTCTCACAATGGGTTTCACAGATAGAATTCAGATTTCAACTCACCGGTGACTGAGGAGCAAGGACACTCGGATGCAGTCCTCTGTGGCATTATCCCAGCATGCACACAGTTGAAAGCTGGCCCCATGTGGGACAGGTGTCATACTGAGCAATTCCATTCCTGCTACACTGGGGCCGGGAAGGAGAGTGAGGCAGCCATCTCCCCAGGGAGGCCTGGGGCTCTCTTGGGATGCAGGCATGGCTTACTGCAAGTGCTGAAAAGACCCAGGCACTGGGCCACAGTACACTATTATAGGTATCCAAGATGAATATTGCCCTGAAAATGAGCAAGCAGAGTAGCCTGTGGTTATATTCGAAACAGAGTTACACAGTACCAAGAAGTCATCTAGCATTTCCTTCCCTGAATCCCTCACCTTCTTAAGCAGTTTTTCCTTTTTCTCAGCTAACTTCAGTTAGGATTTGAAGCGTGATGAAATGGTAGGGAATGCTGTTTCTGCTCCTCTTTGGAGGAATTTGATGTTTGATCTATTCGATCTGAGCACGCAAAGCCTGAGCTCACGCGATCTTATGATTTCTTTCTCTAATATTTTGTTTCACTCTATTCACGTGGGAAAGGAGGAAGAGAATATTTTCCTTCTCACCCCTCCTCTTTCTTTGGGTTAAAATATAAATATTATAGATTTCTAAGAGAGGAATGTGGCTGAATCAACCTGTTTATTCTATTTTGAGAAAATGTATGTAATAAAATTACGTTTGTAATCTGTGGGCATGTATATTTAGTAGGGATATTTATTTATTTATTTATTGAGACAGAGTCTCATTTTGTCACCCTCAGTAAAGTGCTGTGGCATCACAGCTCACAGCAACCTCAAACTCTTGGGCTTAACTGATTCTCTTTTCTCAGCCTCCCAAGTAGCTGGGACTACAAGGTGCTCGCCACAATGCCCACCTATTTTTAGAGACAAGGTCTCACTCTGGCTCAGGCTGGTCTCGAACCTGTGAGCTCAGACAAATCCACCCACCTCAGTTGCCCAGGGTGCTGGGATTACAGGCGTGAGCCAGGGTGCCTGGCCCCAGTAGGGATATTTATTGAAGTGGATACTGTAGTTCCTTATCTTCTATTTCTTGTCTTTCTCTTGACCTTTCTTATCTCTTCTATTCTTCCAGAATCGTCTTTCTTTTTTTCTTATTTACAGATACCAGCTTCTCCCGACCATTATTCCCTGTCCATTTTTCTCTCTCCTCTGTATTCTTTTCTTCATCCTCTTCTTCTATGAACCTCTTTCTTTGTAACTTAATATTTGATTGACTTCTCTTCCATCCATCTCTCTTCCTTCACTCTATAAATCTTTTTATTAAATGCTTGCAGTGGACCAGGATTCTGCACCCTCTACATCTATAATCCATTCCCTAAAGCTAATTGTGTCATAATCATACTATGCAGATAACTACTGATATTTTAAATTTAAAAACTATTTCAAAATTTCAATTGATTTAACTAATACAGTGTTGAATTCAAATGTGAAAATAAAAAAGGAAACTAATACTTTCAGCAACCTCTAGCTTTTTAATAACATATTAGAAAATCTGTCTCTTTAATAAGAGTCTGAACTCAGTCTATTCATATCAGGAAAATCGTTCTTTCTCTTTTTTTCTTGGAAGGATTTAGTTCTTAAAAAGAGAATGTGATTAGAAGAAAGAAAATATGGGCAGGACAAAAGAAATAATACTGTGAGCTGTCTTATTAATTACTGTAAAATAGGTACAAAGGATGGATGGATATATAAAACAGTATGGTTTGATCAGATCCCAGTAATATATTTTTGGTATTGCTTCAATTGCCCAGGGGAGTCCTCCTCTTAAAGTATTCTCCCAGGCCAATTTCTTCAAGTGTTTCTTCTGCACTCTCTCCAAGAATCTTTATAGTTTCATGTCTTAAGTTTAAATCTTTTATCCAGTGAGAGTCAATTTTTGTTAATGGTGAAAGGTGTGGGTCCAGTTTCAGTCTTCTACAAGTTGCCCAGCCAATTCTCCCAGCACCATTTGTTAAATAGGGAATCTTTCCCCTAATTTATATTTTTGATGGGCTTATCAAAGATCAAATGATGGTAAGTGTCTGGGTTCATCTCTTGGTTCTCAATTCTGCCTAGATTGTTCATTGCAGCTCAATTCATAATAGCCAAGTCATGGAAGAAGCCCAAGTGCCCATCGACACATGAATGGATTAATAAATTGTGATATATGTATATATATATATATGTGCATATATATATATATATACACATACACCATGGAATACTATGCAGCCTTAAAAAAGATGGAGAGTTTACCTCTTTTACATTTACATGGATGGAGCTGGAACATATCCTGCTTAGTAAAGTCTCTCAAGAATGGAAGAAAAAATATCCAATGTACTGAGTACTATTATGAAACCAATTTATAATCACTCTTTCATATAACGAATGGATCACAACTATGGCCTGGGATGAAGGAGGGAGGAGGGGAAGGGAGGGGGGTGGTCAGATCCAGGGAGGGTAAATGGTGGGATCACACCTATGGTGCATAATGCAAGGGTACATGTCGGATCTATTAGTATAGAGTATAAATGTCTTAACACAATAATTAAGCAAACAAGATGAGGTATATATTAACTGGTATGATGTAAGTGTTCCTAATTCTATATGAAATCAGCACAATGTACCCTATAAATGCATTAATGTATATATGATCTATGTGTTTTTGGTTTAATAAAAAAAAAGCAATATGGTAAAGGCTTAAACATGGAAGTAATCCTTTAGCAAGGCTGAAGATTTCAGACTTTGACATGTGAAATTTATCTGTAGTGCTTGTTTGTCTGGAACCCTAGGTCTGTGGTTCATGAGTGGAATGAAAGAATGACCACTTAGTTTCCAGGTAGAAAGGAATGAACCGTATGGTTACATGTGTCTGATGGACACCAAAGTCCTTCCCCATGTGCAGTGCTCCTGGATCTCAGTGACCTGTCTGTGTTGTGTTGAATCCCCCCGCCCCCCACGCCTGCCCCCAGAGCCTGAGCAGCAGAGTGTACTGAATCCTGCCCTGTCTCCTCCAGCATGTCAGCCTTTGGTAACCCTAGGTCAGGGTGTTGACAGTAACAGTTCCTTGGGGGCAGTGGCTGGCATATTTCCAGGCTATAGGAGCTGCTCAATAATTGGTAGTGTAAACTTTGTGTACTTTGTGAATTTGGACTTTTGTGTCTGAAGTTCATATGGTAAATAAAAGAATCAAATGAGTCACAGAAGTGACCATTTTAACACAATAAGGTGGTGGTTTATTTCTGTATTGTCAAAGAAAAAGGAGGAGGTGTTTGGAAGAAAATTTTCAGTAGAGGGAGAGAGAAGGAAGGAGAAACAAAAAAAAGTGTAGATAAATGAGGATGGGGAGAAAAAGGGAGAAGCTTTATATTTGAACTAAAGAGAGGTTATTCCTTATCTTTACTTTTCTCATTCTTCAGTTCTCGGGCCAACCCTATCTCTTCTAGAAAGCCTCTAGTGTTTTGTATCTATTGTATGGATGCTTCTATTCTCAGTGCAATTAAGTGGAGGTTTTTACGGGTTCTTGGCAATCATTGGAAGAAAAGAATTTCAGGACACACCATGGAAGCCAGAAAAGCAACAGCATTTTTACTTTTATTTATTTATTTATTTATTTATTTATTTATTTTTAAGCGAAAACAAAAATAAACACTGACAGGAAGAGAGTAGGCAGATTGGACAACGGCAGCTGCACTAGGAGGAAATGCGTTTGGGTCTTTTGGAGTCTTACTAATTGATGTGAGGAATATTCAAGGCTAAAGGATTGGCTTTTACTCAGAATTAGGGTAGTAATTCTTAGAATTGGGATCCCTCCCATTTGTATGCGTTATATGATTATCTTGGAAATCTCATAGTGATTTCACGGGGGGGGGGGGATTTTAAAATCACAATGCACATGGTGTTGTAATTAGCCAAGGTTCTTATAAAGTGAGAGAGATAACTGACTGCCAGGTGAGGCCGGTTGCTGCGTGTGGTTTTGCCTGAATGTTGTTTACTTCAATAGCCGCCCCCAGTCGTCAAGCCCCTGCATCGGTCTCAGCTCTGCAGTCTTCTCCTCCAGCAGGAAAAGGACACAGGAATGAGCTGTTGAGGATGGATGAGGAAGAAAGCTGTGCTGGGTGGGTGGGAGAAGTATGGAAAAGAACCGCCTTGCATTCAGACAGTCCAGTGAAAATGCTTAAAGACTGCAGGGGTGGGCAGTGCCTATGGCTCAAAGGAGTAGGGCGCTGGCCCCATATGCCAGAGGTGGTGGGTTCAAACCCACCCCCAGCCAAAAACTGCAAAAAAAAAAAAAAAAGACTACAGAGGTGTGAATAGTGTTCTTTCAGTTTCTCTTATTAGAATGTTTATTAATTTTTGGAGATTTCCTTTTAAAAGAATGAATTCAAATACCGGGAAAGTAAGTGCACTTACACAAACTCATACACTTGTAAATATGTTTTACTTCTTGATATTTTACAAATGTTATTTAATGACCCTGAGCGACATTTAAAAATCAAAGAAAAATTTATAGCTGATCAAAGAACAAGTTACATCTGAAATTTCAGCAATGTTTCTTTAATTAGCAAAATAAATTGCACTTGAAATAATTGAGAAGCAATGTTCAAAATCTGGCCTGTGATTCAAGCAATAGTGTGAATGTGATTATTTTTGAAGGAAGATGTACCTTTCAAATTCAGATTCGACATACTCAAAGTTCCTCTCTAATTTTCTGTTGCTTGATAATAGGATATCTCCAAGTTTGCCGAGAAAGACAACATAGTTCTTGGAGAAGGCGGAATCACACTGAGTGGAGGTCAGCGAGCAAGAATCTCTTTAGCAAGGTGAATAATGGGGTATGACTCCAGTGGGCGTTTGGTGGAGAAATATCACACATGTGAAAAATTATCTACATTTCTCTTTCGTTTTACATTCTGTTTCTGGGATTGAAAAATTCCTAGGGTTTTGTTACTAGTGAGTTAAGGATCACCTTTAGGAACTAATGCTACAGCATCCAGACTTGATAAAGCTGATGACTTTTCCAAAGTGTGTATGATTGTTTGCTTTATGGTGTGTATGGTTTCCCACAAAATAGAAAACTCTGGGATTCTGCTTAGTCAAGGGAAAAGAAGATGTCAATTTCTGCTAATCCATTGTATGCTCTTCTCCTCGTCCCTAGGTGTACACACCTGCTCACAGCCCTGCTGATTAAATAAACACACATTTCTAATTTGCAGCAAAATGATTTTTGTAACAAAAACAGGAAGACAAATAATGTCACTTGTCTTCAGGTCTATAATCTTTAAGGTGGAATAAGTAGGACAACAGCATCTAACATGAGAGGAGTAGGGGAAGCCTTGGTAGAGACACTCTTGGTCCAAACAGAAGCTGTCAAATAGAAGTACGCATAGTTAAATGACATAAAAGAGAGTTTGGGGGTTAAACTGTAACTTTTGCTGTAAAAAAAGTATTGATGGCATGGGATGTCAAATGTCCCTCAAATTTTATTAAACAAAATTCTTCTCACTTTGTTGCCAAAGTTATTAACAAGGAGTCAGGTTGACTCATTGATTCCTTTACTTTCTCCTGCTTCCAAGAACTAAAACAGGAAAACACACATTGAGCATCTGAATTTCCCGTCCTAGGTGTGTGTGTGTAAAATTCATTCCCCATACAACCCTGCACAGTAAGGATTGTTCTCCTCACTTTGCAGAAGAGATAAGACGCCTGAGGCTGTTAGATGTTAACTTGCCAAAAGCCATACAAGGAAATGGTAGGGGTACAGTTTGAACTAGGTCCTTTTGATCGTATGCACTAAACCATGCCTTAATCTTGAGGATACACTGCGAAATAATGATTCAGTAGATATGGATAATTCACAAACATGATAATGATTAAATGGAACTTGATTATTCTGTGTGCCAAAGTTAAGACTTATCTTAAGTATTCCATTTCATATTTAGATAAGATAGCACGTACAGCTTCTAGACATCCCGCATAGAATCGAGTTTGTGTTGATCTGTTTGAGATTTGGTTTTACTGTAAGATGTACATAGCTAGAGGTACTACGGGAAATAATTGTCAATTTTCATTTTCATTGGAATGTTTAGTGTGTTGTCCAATTTGGGATGATGACGATATTGTTTCTAATTTCATAAGAAACTGGTCCTAGATGTGGGAGAGAGAGAAGAACTAAGTGCAGGGGGAAAAGACCTTGGGGGTACATTTTGGTGGGGTCCTTTATCTCGCTGTTGCAAGTTGTCTTCAAAAATAACTTCCCCTGGGAGGGGAGGAGGGAGGATGGGTGGAGGGAGGGTAATGGGTGGGACCACACCTACCGTGCATCTTACAAGGGTACATGTGAAACTTACTAAATGTAGAATATAAATGTCTTAACACAATAACTAAGAAAATGCCATGAAGGCTATGTTAACCTGTTTGATGAAAATATTTCAAATTGTATATAAAACCAGCACATTGTACCCCATGACTACATTAATGTACACAGCTATGATTTAATAATAATAATAATAATAATAATTTCCCCTATAAGTGATCTTTTAGACTTTCCTTGGACTTTTTCCTATTTCTGGTTTTTTAAATTACTTCTCTTAATTATGTGCTAATTGAATATGGTTTTCTTCCTAACAAAAGTACATATATAAATACAGAATCTTGTGAGGTTGGGATAGGGATCGGGTCTCTAACTATCAGACCGGAAACATTTAAATGTGAAGAAATTATCTCATTTCCATTGATATGGAAACTGTATCTTCATCTTATTGTTCTAAGACCAATTCAGTGTAGATTTTGTTCAGCTTTCAACTAAAAAGGTAAAAGGATATATGCATAAATTTTCTTGTGAATTATTAATACTTTCTTTGGAACTTTCATGACTATGGTGCAGAGACAAACAGTAAGGAACGAAATGCAGTGTCCGTTACACAGGCGTGGCATCGGTTGTTAGAGTTGTTAACGTCTTAAAAGACATTTAAAAAATATTTTCACATAAATGCTGCAGTTTATTCGCTGTCTCTGGCATTTTACAGTTTGAGATAGTCCGTTTCCTTCTTTGTCTCCTCACCAACTGCAAGATTGTGGAGGGTAGAACTGTGCAATTTGTACTCTTGTATTGCCTCACGTAGCGGCGTGCTTGGTACTAAGTAGAGACTGTTGATAAAAGTGTTTCTTTTCCTTTTTCTTAATGTAATATTTTAAAGTGTATGATATAGTACAATCCAATTTGTACTTGTATTCATTTATTTTATTTATTTTTCTTACATGTACAAGTGTTCATTAGGTTTCCACTTTTGCCTTCACAGAAATAAAAAGGCTTAAAATTTAGTAACTATAACAATGTTTAACATAAGAACTGAAAACAAAAACCTCATAAAGAACAAATGAAGATGAATACATTCAGAAAAGAAATCAGATAATTATTGCATCGAAATATCAAGCAATAATAATGATAATAATAATAATGCAAAGAAAGTAACATTCACATTGTCAAATAAGAGTATGTCTATAACGGAATGCTTTGACTCTGAAGTTCAGTATGGAGTCATCTGTTAATTTCTACTTATTTTGTTTTTTCCAAAGTCTCAAAAAATAGACAACTAATATTTATAAATAAGAGTAGAAGATAATTTCAAAAAAACAGATCATGCCAAATCTTATAGACAATAGAAAAATAAAAAATACATTCTACTTAAAGTGTATGATATAGTGCAATCCAATTTGTATTTTGCTAGTTATGCCTCTTACAATTAGCAAAACCACTTTGGCAGTTCTTGAAGTACTGTGCAAAGCCATAAAAATCATTCACAACTTATCTCTTTATTTCTCATTTAAAATCATCTACACTATTCAAAGAAATTTCCAACAGTATTACTTCTGTGCTGTGTTGAGAACAGGGTGATGGACGCGGTAAAGACGTGGTGACAATGCTGGAAGGCACGCAGTGAGTTGTTTTAATACATCTACCCTAAATGACACAGCAAGTAGTGAGGAAATCTAATTTAATTTCCATTTTCTTTTTAGAGCAGTATATAAAGATGCTGACTTGTACCTTTTAGACTCTCCTTTTGGATACTTAGATGTTTTAACAGAAAAAGAAATATTTGAAAGGTACGTTCTTTGAATAACTTATAATTCTCATGCTAAAAGACAAGAAGGAGTGACTGTCCCATCACAGCCTGCATATTACCTCTTGGGAAACATTCCACCCTTGTTGGGATTCAGTACAGCAGAATATACCATGGTCCTTACTCAAATCAGAACTGCCCAGCAAGGCCAAGATTCAAGATCACTTCCATTCAAACCTTTCCTGGCCGCCTCATGCTAGACCAGTTTTTTCCATTGCTATACTTTTATAACAATCATCATTGATGTAGTTTTGACAATCTTATTGTAATTGGTTATGATATTTAAGTTTTATAACTTTTTGTGTTAGTATTATATTCTAACTTCTCTTAATGCAGTAAACTTTTTACAGAACTACATGTGCTAAGTGGTTTAGTGTAGGTGAATGCAGAGATGACTTGTCTATCTCAGCAGAGCTCAAGAAGCATGTTTTCTTGGAGCTTTGAATAGGGCTTAATTCCTGTGAGGTTCCTAAGAGGAAAACTTAGTGAAATGACTTGATTTCAAAATTATTTCATGGACTATAGTTTATTAGCATAAACTTATAGTCTCCTAGAAATAAAGATTTTAAGCATCAAGGATATATACATACATCTGTATAAAATGACTATGTTATTCCTAGAAACACCTTTCCTATAATTTGGTTACATTTAATACCCAAGATACCATTTTCTATAAACCTGTGACTGTGATAAGTTACTTCTTAGCAATATAAACTTTGCTATGTTTACATAGTTGTATTAGTATGTTTGAGAATAATCTAGAATGATGCCTCTTTCAATTCAATGTATAAAAATGCCTAAAAAACCCTGATCTATCTTAGATGGTTCTACTCAGATTTATTTCTAGACTAGAGGAAAATTTTATTAAAGGAGGATCAAATTTATTATCCAGTTGTCAGTTGTAGAAGTTTTGTTTTTGTTTTAACAAATCAGGTTAGTCTCAATACAAGCTTCTGAGAACTAAATGGTGGTCAACCTAAAATGTAAAGGGAAATTGTTAATAATAGAAAAAAGAACAAGAAAGCTCTGACATCTAACAGACATATGGAAAAACTTCAACCTCTAGGGACCTTAACAATCATCCATCAGTTCCCTAATTTTCTATATGAATAAACCAGGTCCCAGAGGGTAAATAATTTGCTCAAAGTCAAGTATCTACTTGAACTCAGAATTTAATTTCACTGTAGGTCTGTTAACACGCAATTTTACAATTTGTATATTGCATGCTATTTCATGCTATAATAATTTATGAGACACCAAATTAATGATGATAGGGCATTTACTCATAGAACCATTTTAAGTATAATAATATTCTATGATAGAGATTTTATACAATAAAACATTGGTAAAATGATAAAATGCAGCATATTATTGTAATAATGTATTTATAAAATTGATATTTTACTTTTGATCTTTTTATGATATTGATCTTTTTATGTTCCTCTAGCTGTGTCTGTAAACTGATGGCTAACAAAACTAGGATTTTGGTAACTTCTAAAATGGAACATTTAAAGAAAGCTGACAAAATATTAATTTTACATGAAGGTAGCAGCTATTTTTATGGCACATTTTCTGAACTACAAAATCTACGGCCGGACTTTAGCTCAAAGCTCATGGGATTTGATTCTTTCGACCAGTTTAGTGCAGAAAGAAGAAATTCCATCCTCACTGAGACTCTGCGCCGTTTCTCATTAGAAGGAGACGCCGCTGTCTCCAGGAATGAGACGAAAAAACAATCTTTTAAACAGACTGGAGAGATTGGAGAAAAAAGAAAGAATTCTATTCTCAATCCAATCAACTCTATAAGGAAATTTTCTGTTGTACAAAAGACTCCACTCCCAATGAATGGCATTGATGAGGAGGACTCGGAGGAGCCCGTGGAGAGAAGGCTGTCCTTAGTTCCAGACTCCGAGCAGGGGGAGGCCATCCTGCCTCGAAGCAACGTGTTCAACACTGGCCCCACGTTTCAGGGACGAAGGAGGCAGTCTGTTTTGAACCTGATGACTCATTCCGTTAACCAAGGTCAAAACATTCACCGAAAGACTGCAGCATCTACACGTAAGATGTCACTGGCCCCGCAGGCGAATCTGACGGAAATGGATATATATTCAAGACGGTTATCTCAGGAAAGTAGCTTGGAAATAAGTGAAGAAATTAATGAAGAATATTTAAAGGTATGTATCAATTATTTGGGGCTTTCTTTTCTCCCCAAGAGTACATTTGACTAAAATGCATGATGTAATAGGTATGTAACAAAACTCACTCAAATTATGGGATTGAGTGGGGTTTAAGATTTAGAAAGGGCAAAATCCACAAATTATGTGAACAACTGCAAAATTTAAAATATTCACCTATATTTTTGCCATGAAATGTGTCTCTTCCTATACAATGTATCAAAGGCCAAAAAGCATGAACGTAGTATTGGGTCCTTTTTTAGGCCAGTGATGATCATTGCTGTAAATTAGAAAACGTCTGCTTTGTTACTACTTTGAGCCATCGGTGGGATGAGGTGGAGGGTAAATAAACATCTAAACAAATAGTAGTATATTTATATTTATTTAAAGTATATAAATATCCAGTCTTTTAACTGGACTAACTCACATACTGGTTTATACATCACTCTGGCCAGAATTTAGTTAGTGAGGGGGGTTTTATCTTTCGAATGTGCCTTAGTGTTGGATTTCTGAAAAAGGTCCTTTCAGACCAATACGCAAAGCTCAACATGTTCTAGTCCCAATCTTCAGAAAGAAAGTCTGTTGTATGTACTATTAAAATAACCTTAAGAATAAAATGCTTTTTTCTTTCTTAAAATAGGAAGCAGTATAAAAAGAAAAGAATTTTTGTGGTTTTTTACTAGAAATCTTAAACGCCTAGAAGGAAGTGAACCATGGGCAGAGTTGTAGTGAATCGATATGTTTAATACATGGAATAGATCATTTAGGACGTTTAAGCTTTGGCAAGTCACAAGTCATTTAACAGCTCTAGGACAGGTCCCTCCTTTATAAAATGATGGCATAGCATAAGTGATCTCAAAACCATAATGTCAATGTTTCGGTAACTTTAAAAAGGTTTCCTGAAGGATAATTCATCTCTATGGCTTAATATCAATGTAGATGGATATCTCAAATCTGAGCCTATAATGTAGTTGTAAGGAATGATCCCCTTGCTTAATAACAGTTACTATTTATTGATTGCTTCTCACTCCAGGCAGCATATTTAGTCACCACAACTACCCTGGAAGGTACATATTGTTATTTCAAATTTGCAGATAAGGAAACTAAAGTTCAGAGAAGCCCAGCAACATGCCCTAATTCGAGCAGCTCCTAGCACGTCCATGGTGGAAGCTGGTTTAAATCTAGGTCTATCTGACTCCAAAAATTTATACTCTAAACTAATGTGGTATATTCTGATTCCAGAGGACCCTTTCTTTCTGATTTTAGCACTACCTCTATAGATTTTGTTCACTTTATAAGAAACAAAGCTATCTTTTTCCTTTGGACTATCTGGAATCTATTTTAAATTTTTGAAATGTGTCTGCCAAAAGACAAATAAGGACCTCCAGGGGAACATACCCAGGATTGGAATTATGTAATTTAAGTGATAGCTGGAAAGAGATAATCCTAGGTTGCGGAGGAATGTATAAGCATAAACTGGCTTTTTGTTTGTTGGAAGACCTTCATGGCTATCAAAATGCCAAAGTGTACTTGTCCATAGACTCCAGAAGAAACAGGTTAAGTGAAGGCGAGCTCTTAGAAGCTTCATTTGTTTTATTTTATTTTTATATGTTTTATTAGGTTTTTTTTATTATTTGGGATTCATTGCGGATACAAACAGTTAGGTTACTCTGACTGCATTTGTTAGATAAAGTCCCTCTTATAATTGTGTCCTGCCCCAAGAGGTGTGCCATACACCATGATCCCCCATCCCCTCCTCTCTACTCCCTACTTGCTTATTCCCCCGCTCCTGCCCTTGTATCAGCTCATCTACTGCCTTCATGTCAGGATTGAGTACCTTGGAGTCTTGCTTCTCCATTCTTGTGATGCTTTACTAAGAACAATGTGTTCCACTTCCATCCAGGTTAATACAAAAGAGGTAAAGTTTCCATCTTTTTTAGTGGCTGAATAGTATTCCATGGTATACATATACCACAGCTTGTTAATCCATTCCTGGGTTGGTGGGCATTTGGGCTGTTTCCACATTTTGGCAATTTTAAATTGAGCTACGATAAACAGTCTAGTGCAAATGTCCTTATGATAAATGATTTTTTTTCTTCTGGGTAAATGTCTAGTAATGGGATTGCAGATCAAATGGGCAGTCTTATTTGAGTTCTTTGAGGATTCTCCATACTTCCTTCCAAAAACATTGTATTAGTTTGCAGTCCCACCAGCACTGTAAAAGTGTTCCCTTCTCTCCACATCCATGCCAGCATCTGCAGCTTGGAGACTTTGTGATGTGGGCCATTCTCATTGGGGTTAGGTGATGTCTCAGGGTGGTTTTGATTTGCATTTCTCTGATGATCGGGGATGATGAGCATTTTGTCATGTTAGCCATTTGTCTGTCTTCTTTAGAGAAGGTTCTAGTTATGTCTCTTGCCCAGTGATATATGGGATTGTTTGGTCTTTTTTAGTTGATTAATTTGAGTTCTCTATTGATCCTAGTCATTAAGCTTTTGTCTGATTCATAATATACAAATATCTTTTTCCATTCTGAAGGTTGACTGTTTGCTTTGGTTGTTGTTTCCTTAGATACACAGAAGCTTTTCAGTTTAATTAAATCCCATTTGTTTATTTTTGTTGTTGTTGCAATTGCCTCAGAAGTTTTCTTCATAAAATCTTTCCCCAAGCTGATGTCTTCAAGGGTTTTCCCCACACTTTCTTTGAGGATTTTTATTGTTTCATGCCTTAGATTTAAATCTTTTATCCATCTTGAGTCAATTTTTAAGTGGTAAGAGGTACAGGTCCAGTTCCAATCTTTTACATGTGGTTATCCAGTTCTCCCCAAACCCTTTATTGAATAGGGCTTCTTTTCCCCAGTGTACATTCTTGTTTGGTTCATTTAGATAGCACCATTCATTTGATGAAATGCATGACACTGTTAAACATTTATATGACAAAATTGGCTTGTGTGGTAGTCCCAGTACTCTACTCAGGAGACTGGAGTGAGAGGATGCCTTGAGTCCAGGAGTTTACATTCATTTTAGATATGGACAACTTAGGGAGACCCCATCTCCAAAAACACCAAAAAGACCAAAACAAAACAAACACATCTAAAACCCAAATCACCAAATACAAATAAATGGTAAAATTGCCCAACGATGATGCAGTTATATAGTGGCTTTTTAGAATATTCAAAAATTTGGGTGTTTCTTATTTTTCACTTGATTATAGCCAAAAGCCCAAGAAGCTATGTTTCTCATTTTTCAAATAGATGTAGCGCTCCAGTTGACATTATTCTGGCTGTGACACAGCATATGACATTTGTAATGATTTGTGTTTGCTGAAGTTCACTTACCTTCAAGTAATTGCATTCCTTTATTTCCACACATTCAATATAGAATGGCATGGTAGCATGAAACTGTCTTGTCTCCTGTAGTAACCAGGATTCTGTTTTACAGGAGTGCTTTTGTGATGATGTGGAGAACATTCCAGCAGTGACTACCTGGAACACATACCTTAGATACCTAGCTGTCAACAAGAGCTTAAGTTTGGTACTAATTTGGTGCTTAGTTATTTTTCTGGCTGAGGTAAGAATATTCTCTTGTAAAATATTACTGTGAGTTAATGTCGAATTAAAAATTGTTTGGAAGGATGTATAAATATATATGCATTATGTCCACATATACATTTATAAGTAAATGTGTGTGTGTATATTTATACATATATGGGGGAATCTGTGGCCTTTGATTTCAAGATTGTTCTTTTTTAAGCACCAAATGAGGCAGAAAATGTCGTCTTTCTTTGCTGCACTCCTTTTAATAAAAGGATTTGTTCTGTAAAATTTAGGTTCTATCAAAGCCTGCAGACAAGGGGCCAGAAGGCCAGATGTGGCCCCAGCGCCTTGCATTCCCTCCCTCACGTTTCATATAGTTTTAGCATCTAAAAATCAACAATTGGAATCACTGCTGGTATTTTATTATTTCATACATAGAACATAACATATGCTTTTTATTTTGTCTCCTGTTGTCTAAAGGGGGCAACTTTTACAAATATATAAAAGGTGTTTAATAGATTTTAAAAACTTTAGAAGATTCAAAAGGTAGAAGTAGAAAGCCTTTATTTAATTTGAAATCAAGCACTGAAAATAATTCCTTATTAAATTTTAAACTCTTTTGACTATAGATACTGAATTATTAAATATGCAGGTGATTGCTATTTAAATATTTCCTCACCCAATGAGATAAATAGGTATTTGTGGCTTAGGAATCATTTTAGACAAACCTTTCAGAGATTCAAGCTGCCTATTCGCTTACAGAAATGTTGTCTTCAGTGTCCCCATGGTGGTTTCTTTGCCACATCTCTACCGTCCTTTACATCACTAAGTTAAAGACAAGGGGGGCTGGAAATAGCACAATGGGCCACAGGTCCATTCCTCATCAGCACAGCAGGTTCCTGAAGCAGGGTGGTGGCCCCGGCTTTCCTCTGGATCAGGAGCAGCCACATATAGGCTTAAAGAGCCCGACAGGGGCATCTCGGGGGGAAGTGGCTGGGAGACTGAAAGGCGGCACCTGCCGCTCAGCACCAGCCAGCACCTTGCCCTGAGGGAATTGGGATTAGTCTTGCTACGTCTTCTTGTTTATCAAGATAAGGTAGACATCAGACTTTTCTGTAATTTTTTCTCCTTTTATAACATGGGTAGTTGATAACATAAAAATAAATGAATGAACACTATGTGGGCATAACAAAGCACATCTGTGGTTTGGAGTGACCCTGTGAAAGATATTTATTCCAGAGGACACCCCAGATATGTCATAATATAAAACCTAAATTTAACCTGAAGGGCTTGTCCTGCCTGTAGGAGAAGAAATGACTCAGGTGAAGAACTGCCTCCCTGAGGAAGTATAAGCTGATACCCCATGACTGGACGTTTGTTTCTCTTGTTAGGCTGTTTCTAACTGCAGTGAAGAAGGCCATAGAAAGTATCATCATTCCACTATGATTAAGAAATACAGTGTTAAACATGTACAAAAAATTGTGCATACTACTGCACTAAACTCTTGGGTTCTATTTGATCTTTGAGTTACAGTAGTATCTGTTATTTGCCCTGCTGTTGTAAATTAACAAACCAAATGAAGGCTTGAGGCAAGATGCAGTTTATAGCATAGTGCCACCTCTGAAATCAGAGGGCTCGGGATGTGAGCTCTAACTCAGTCTTATTAACAAACTTAGGGCGTCGGTTATCCTCTCTGAGTACCAGCTTCACAGGCATTTTGTGGTTTAAGAGACACTGAAATTACAAAACACTTAGCATAGGGCTTAGTGCATGATGGTGAGCAATGCTAGTCACTATTACTATTAATATTTTTAATGTCATGTCATTATTATAAGGCTTATCATAATTTGAGGTGCAGCTTCATAATGGGGATATAATGGAAATTTTAATAATTCCTTTTAGACTCTGACAAAAGTATGTGGTTGGGTAATTTGACACTGTTACATGACTAATAAATATTGAATTGAAATGTATTTCCAATTTACCTCATTTATCTCTGCCGGTCTTGCCAAATGACCAACATTAATATCCATGAAACCCAGCCTGTGGTGCCTCGTGTAATCTCACCCCACCCCTTAAGTTAATGATGGGAACCTCTCATTGATAGACGACATTACTTGTCTTCAACATATGCAAGAAAAAAGGGTCATATCTGATTTTGATAGTGATTTCTGTTGATTTATGGGACCTATATCTCATGCAGTGCCATAGAGTTGAACTTTTCTACCCTTCAGAAGGGTGTATCATAATTAATTACTTGACTGTTGGGCTGCTACACATGTGTACAATGTGACTGGCTCACTAAAGCAAGAGGAAGAAATTAAATCCTTGAGGGCAAGGAACTAAATTACAACTTACAATTACTATAAATATGATATACCTACCCATTGTTAGTTGAACTCTCACAATTATTCCAAAAAATCATCTTTTTAATGGACAAAATAACTGATAATGCCCTTTTCAGGCAAGAAATAATAGAATAAATGATGACCCTTTCAGGCCAGTATCACATAGGCCTTGCCAATTAACTGGTTTTCAGAAATGTGAAGAACAAAACCTTAGTAATAGTAGAATAATAATTTTTTAAATTATGTGCACAAACAGGCAACTAAGCAGTTCTTTTACTGGTGTTTGTAATTCTGTTGCCTTGTTTGAATCTAAATTTACATGGTTTTTGTTTTACTTTTCTTTTTCCATTTAATTCCCTGACACAACCAGGAGAGACATCGTTTTCCTTTTAGACTAAGCTCTTTTCCTCAAACCAGTGTGCCCATTTCTCATTCCATTAAAAAAACTCCTTGTTCCTTCATATGGTGGTATAGTTGCGAATCCAGGATGATCGTTCAGTTCTTTTAAACTCTGATTAGAAGCTCATACTCGTGATCAGAGGACCTAAAGAAAGATTAAGATTCGTTTCTTCTTTGGTGAAGGTGACTTACCTATTTTTAGTTTTCATAAGGGTTATATTTCAATTTAGATTTATGTATTTATAGAGGGCATTCAATATATATTGCAATGTGAAATACTTAGTCATTTTAAAGTTTCTTCAAAGCTGCTGAACTGAGAGAATTAGTTTGTCTACTCACTCTGTTAGCACTTGTTAAATGGGCGTCATTTTGAAAGGATGCTGGTCTACCTTTGTATTTGTGTTCCACTTCTCCCCACCCCACAGGCAGTATGTTCTGTAGGTTCCTGGATATCAGTGGCAAGGAAATAGGAATTAAATTTCTGCTGGTTTTGAGTACTTCTGCTTGGCACTGCATCACGGACAAGATGGAGGAGAGATGCAAATAATATTAATAGTAAAATTAGGGGGCAGTTTCCTAGTTCCTTTTAAAATAAGCAGAGGGGATTGCTGTTGACTGGAGTCTCTGAAGATCCTGCTTAATAATTTTATTCTATGATTTTTAACAATGTGTCAGAGAACTGTTGCATCCTATTCCTTTAACACTTCCCTCCTGTTTGCTCATGAGGAATCCCTGAGTGGCTTTCTATCACTGGTACACTGGAGCTGGGGGATATCACATAATACGTCTGCTGCTATTGGCGGACAGTACTCCTGTAGGACAGCTCTGCTGACCATGCTTTGTAGGGCATTATTTGAATTGTGGATCCTTGAAATCTGTGTAGTAAGTGTGCTATTTTCTGTATGATATGGAATGGTGTTTAAAACCCTAAGAAACGGAAAATAAAGAACTTTTTACTCTTATCCCTTATTCATCTAGGACTGCCACTCTGTCAAAAACTTAGGGACCTCAAAACATTTGGGAAACAAAATGGTAGAACTTGCTTACTCCGCTGTCTCTATATGCTTCAAATACTTTTAATACGGTTGTTACATCAAGTCCTTGAAAATGTTTCTGTTCGAGTTACTAGAAGCAATTTGGGTTGGTGGTTCCATGCAGATGGAGTCAGGAAATAACTATATTTTGATGACAGGCCCATCTTTAGAAAACTGCTCTGGTTATTGATCCATTAGTAAATAATAAAAATATTTATTTCTGATAATTAATTCAAAGAATGCTGACAATGTGAGCATTGACATTCCTTTAATTGGAGCAAAGGAAGACTATAATAGCTAAAGAAGATAATATCCAAATAACAGAAGAGTGACTCAGAATATATGTATACCCTTATCTAGGGTCTTGAGTAATTTGATTAGTCTTAGGAAGTAGGAAGACGTTTATACTGTAACGAAGACTTTTGATATAGTGAGATTATTTCTGAATTTGTCATTTTGAATTTAAACTTATTTGAATTTCAAGGAAATAAGAATAGCTTTTCTTTTTTTTTTTTGACAGACAGAGTCTCACTTTGTCACCCTCAGTAGAGTGCTGTGGCATCACAGCTCAAACTCTTGGATTTAAGAGATTCTCTGACCTCAGCCTTCCAAGTAGCTGGGACTACAGGTGCCCGCCACAAAGCCCAGCTATTTTTTCTAGAGACAAGGTCTCACTCTTGAGGTCTTGCTCTGGCTCAGGCTGGTCTCAAACTCATGAGCTCAGGCAATCCACCTGCCTTGGCCTCCCAGAGGGAGCCACCGCACCTGGCCAAGAACAGCTTTTCTCTTTATTGATAGGGTATAGAGACTATGTGTACATGAAGAAAAGTAAGAAAGTGAAAATAATGCCATTAGATTTTTTATCATTATGCTTCTATCTAATATATGAATTTAACTAAAACTTAAACAGCTCTTTAAAGCACAGCACTTCCTAATTTGTTCCTTAATCTCAACGTTCCCTCTAAGTTTTATATAGTACTTTTAAATATTTAAGGTAAATCCAGGTATGAAATAATACTTGCAGATACCTTATTCCGAGTATATTTGTTTCTCCCCTATTTATTTTTATTCTGTGTTCATCTCCAAAATGATCTTACTTGCAATTGCTTGTTTTTCTGGTAAAGTTGTACATTGGGCTAACTGTGTAATTTTGAGTCATTTTCTATTAATAATATGCAGTTGTGATGGCCTCAGCATGAGATTAAATTTCCCCAAAGGAGCATGGAATGCCAAATTGAAATAGAACACAGCGCAGATGATTTAAATATCTAAAGGACTACAAAAGTCACAGTTGTTTAAAAAAATCTTGGTTGTTGTTTAGGTACGGTATAGAGTATTTCTCCCCTAGCTGAATGTTTCTACCTCGAGAACTCTCTAAGTCCTAAGAAATTCTGCTGTCAGTAATGTGTTTTAACTTGAATGTACCTTATCTCTATTCACAAACTGTGAATTTTTACACTGTTGGAACTTGTAATTCATTTTTAAAATATTAATATTAATCTCTCCCTTTTCAATAATTAATTGTTCTCACAGGCATTGGTCCTTCAAAATCACTGAACAACAAACAACACTATAGCAACAAAATAGACTGGTTATCTGCCAGAGGCTGAGATTAGCGTTCTTATAAAGACAAAGTTTATTATTTAAAACATTTAGCTATAATCTTCGCTCTCCTGCGGTGTGAGGAATAGTTCCTGATGAATTAAAGAGAGAAATGGCAAAGCATTTACTTCAGTGAAATCCGAATTCCATTGACTTAATATGTTCTCATCACAAATGATGGTGCTTAGAATGATTACTGCAGCTGCTGGACCAAGGGAGGCAAAGTGAAGGAAATAGTATCCTGTGCGCTTTGACCTTGTGAATTTAGAGTTGGTGTGGGAGGAATAGGTGACAATGTTAGAAACAGTCACTGTGTACCATTCCTTTCCAGGTGGCAATTTCTTTGGCGGTGTTGTTGCTACTTGACAGGTGAGTATTCTGTGTTCTATTGTGGATTATGTTTTGTTTCCCCTGACTATTGGGTCTTATTAAAAACTGTGTTACATTTCACCCTGGTGTTATAGTAGTAGAAAAATGGTTATTTTATTTAAATTGTGAGCACCTGCAGTTCCTGCATCTCTTTGTCAGTTTCTAAATGATTTAGTTGGGCTCGATTCCCATGAAATGCAATAAAAATAATTGAAACATTATGCATTTAGTATTTTCTTTAAGTGCATATTTTAATCTACCAAGGATCAATTTTGCCTATTTTAATGGTGAAAGAATGAAAACTTAATTTACTTTCTTTTTTATTTTATTTTATTTATTTATTTTGCGGTTTTTGAGTGGGGCTGGGTTTGAACCCGCCACCTCCGGCATATGGGGCCGGCACCTTACTCCTTTGAGCCTCAGGCACCACCCTTAATTTATTTTCTTGCAGTAGTAGGCTTTTAAGATTAAAGGCACACACTCCTCTACTAATGTAGTACATTCTATGTCATAGACTCAATTTAGTTTCATTCACATGTATTAGAATGCAAGGGTACATGTCAAAAATAGTAAGAGTAGAGTATAAATGTCTTAGCACAGCAGATAAGTAAGGGGGGTGCAGGTTATGTTAACCAGTTTGATGTAAGCTTTCCAAAGTATCTATCAAATCAGCACATTGTACCCCAGAAATGCATTAATGTATACAGTTATGATTTAATAATAAAGGGGGGAAGAAAGAAATTCAGTCATCAGGGTTAGTTGCCAAAGAACAGTTTCTCTTCTGTTTTACAGGAGCCCTCGTTACAGCAAAGGGAACGGCACTGCCAGTGGGAATGGCAGCTCCGCCGTGATCATCACCAGCACCAGCTCCTACTACTTGTTCTACATTTACGTGGGAGTAGCTGACACTTTGCTTGCTCTGGGCTTCTTCAGAGGTCTGCCCCTGGTGCATACTCTCATCACAGTGTCAAAAATTTTACACCACAGAATGTTGCATTCTGTTCTTCGAGCGCCTATGTCAACCCTCAACATGTTAAAAGCAGGTATTTGACCAGGGATACAAAATGAAACTGCTGATAGATCCATCATCACTTGGGTCTGTGGTTTGGTGGGTTTTCTAGCAAGTGTGCTGGCGTGTGCAAGGCGTCTGCCTTTTGTTGAGCCCTCTTGGGACTGGCATGGAGATTTGTCAGATGCTGCAGGTTGTCCTCTATCGCTGCTCCTGACATTGCAGTCTCAGCTAATTACAGAATGTGAGAATGTGAGAATGCGCCGTTGGTGGGTGGAGCAGCAGCACCGGGCCCTTTGCCAATACTGGATCTCACCTTCTTCTAGGTGTCTTCTTACCAATGTCTGGTCTTGTTCAAAAAAGGAGATGTGGAGTGATCAAGGAAAATGCAGATTTCTTCCAAAGTCTTTTGATGGGATAGAATAATTTAGTTTCATGTTAACTGTTCAAAGTTACACGGTTGGGAGGGAGGACCCAAATGTATTTTAAAGTTTTTTTGATGCCATTTCATTTGAAGTCGCAGAAAGAAAGAATGGTGAAGGTACCAAAATTTTTTAAAGCAAGGGGAATGAGGTACTTTGAAAAGAATCACTGAAATTGATTAGAGAAATTTACATTTGACTTTGAAGTTAATGAGGATTCCTGGAGTTGTTTGTTTGTTTTACATATACAGCAGTGTGTTGAGCTGCTCTGTGAGGAACTAAGGGAAGGGCAGGTATATAAAGATAAATAAGGCACAGGTCTTGCCCTTGAGGGGAGGAGGTGGACACAGAAAAAACACTTGACTATAAAGCAAAGAGTAAGGTCTGAGTTTGAGATTTCTAGCAAGATTTGTATCTAAAAAACTCTCCAAATAAAAAATGTCTATCATTTTTTCTGGCTAATGTTAGTATGTGGAAGATCTTCTTATTTATTCTGATGCCCTTATGTGTCACTAAAGTCTTGCCACATTTGGGTATATTCATCACTATCCCCTTATAATTATATATTTTTTTTAGCTTCTTAAAATATTTTTTAGATATTGGAGGGGTCTCACCATGTTGCCCAGGCTGGTCTCCAACTCCTGGCCTTAAGTGATCCTCCCACCTTGGCCTTCCAAAGTATTGGGATTACAGTATGAGGCTCTGTGCCTGGCCCATCCTCTGTTCTAGATAAGAATTTTAGACTTAGAGATGTCCAAATAACTGATCCAGTGATTTCAGTTTTATGGAAATCTGAGACCCAGAGAAGGCAGGGAAGTTGCCTGAGCTTCTGGCAGAGTCATAAATGGGCCATGAGATACAGTAGAAAGAATACAAGCATCTCTTGAGGCCTGGCGTGGCTTTGTAAGAGAACTGATCTTAGGTAAGTGACTCTTCTGAGCCTTGGCCTCCTCACCTGTAAAACGGGGAAAATACTCATCTCAGAGGATCTTTGTGAGAATGAAACTAGGCAGCTGGCTATGCAGTTGTTGTAAATATTAGTCCCCCACAGTTCCTCCCTCCGGGGTGTTTCTACCACATGCACTTACCCTTCTACCTATTTGCTTCTCTCAGCTCCTCATTCCCTCAAACCCTGGTCACGGTTGGTTCTGAACCAAACCTCCTCTCTTTCATGTTTAAATGATCACTGTCCGTCTCATGTTTCTCGTTTGTTTTACTTGCCAGGCTCTCATCCACTTTGTAAGGTGATTCCTAAACATCTCAGATCATGTCTGTATGTCCTTTCTCTCCCTCACCCACATTTCCACATGCAAGGATTATGCCTTCTTTTCAAAACCATCTCTCTTACTGAGGCATAGTTCATTTATTATTACTGTGTCGCCTAGAAAGTCTCTGCTATATTTGGCAGCAATCGATACTTCCTTGCATGTGTGCTTGCAATCTGCCCCACGTGTGCCCTTCTGCAATTATACATTGACCTTGCTTTCTCTGAATCCTTCCTGATTTTCCTATGTCACTGGACAATGACCTTAGGTGACACGGACACATAGGAAGTGCCCAGCAAAGTATGTTGAATGGATGAAGGTGAACGTGTATTTTGACAGAAGGCTATATTTTGAAAAATAAGAAGTACCCCAATGATTTTTTTTTCACCAAAGCAAACTTTCATTTTTTAACTGTGCAAAGGACATATTAATCAATAAATATGTATTAAATAATTTTCCGAGCACAAGGCCTTTTGCTTGGGGCTCTAGGTGATACAAAGTACATGTAGCATGATCTCACAGACTTCTAGCAGTTTACAATCTAGAAGAAGAGATGAGACATGAACATAAATGACTATAAGACACGTGAGAGTCATCATAACACAGAGGTGCAAGTGAGATGTATTACGTGTGTCCAGGGGAGGAAGAGACTAATTCCAGCTGGAGTGAACACAGATGCTTCCCTGCATGAAGGGCCTTCATTTGCATTCCAGGGAGGAGACATCGATTTTGACAGTATAGATAGGGGGAAAGGGGTTTCAGGCGGAGGGAACCACATAGGGAGGTCAGGGAAGTAGGAAAGTACAGAGTGTGCTTAAACAATAGAGCAGTTTGGCTGAAACAGGATTTTTGAGTGCAGGAAGCTGTACCAACCAGGATGGTAAAGGCCACATTATGGAAGGCATTAAATATTAAACTAGGAATTCTGGACTTTATCCTGAAGTTAGTGGGGGGTGAATGATAAGATTCAATATCACTTTGTGCAGAATTATGTTACCTTTTATCTAATGGTATGTTTAACCCCGCTCTGGACAATGAATTCCTAAGGGGTGAGGAGCACGGCTTATGCACCCTGTTATCTCAGTGCCTAGCATTGTGCCTGGCATGTAGGAGACGGTGGACACTCCATATGTAATTTTTTCATTGAAGCAACAAATTATCGCCCTTATAAATGTGAGTCTGGAATTTGGAAGATAGGCTGTTGCTTAGTTTGTCAGTGAGAACATGGTGAGGGAGGTCTAGGTCGTGAGCAGGCAGGGTCTGGAGAGGCCATAAGTAGTAGGACGAGCACTCACTCCTGACATGATTTATAATGAAGGCTCTATTAGGGATACTGTTTTTTTATTTGAATCTTATGGGAATCTATATTTTATAAAAATTTAAAAGTAAGAGACAGAAACTTGAACACATCATTGCTTAGAATCTTGAGACAGAACTAAACTTCTCCAAGTCCTTGCTTATCTGATTACACGCTGATTCTTATTTGAGTTCTGAATGTTTCTGCTGTGATCCAAACTTAGTATTACATATATTGATGAGCCTTTAAAATGACTAGTTCTTGAGAAATTTATCTTCTTTTATATTATAGGTGGGATTCTGAATAGATTCTCCAAAGACATAGCGATCTTGGATGACCTCCTGCCTCTTACCATATTTGACTTCGTCCAGGTTTGTAAAAATAACTATTATTAAGTATCTTGGCATTTTCCCCATTTTTCAAATAATTACAAAGAAGTAGATCAGTTTTTGTTCATTGTTCATTTGACTGAGAGTTGAGGTCCTTCCTGTCTAGTATATGAATTCTGGAAGTATCCAGAGTTTTCAAAATAGACACAAGTTTAGTCAGTTGGGTATTACATCAGAAACTGTTTCTGTGGCTCAGACCTGAGGCAATCCCACATTTAGGTATAATAACAACTATCTATCTGGGAGTGATTTGAGAGGCACAAAGGACGATATTCCTCCAAATCACTGGCTACAAAGTATGTCATTTTAGTACTGGCATCACTATTTGGTAGAAGCTTGCGTACCTGCGAAAGGCCCATGTCAAAATGAAGGTGGATTCCTTAGGTGGACCACACTTGAAACCAGACTCACCTGGGAACTCTTGGGCACAGATTAGCTTGCCACTTCTCCCGTGGTTGGAGCATCATGAAGGGACAGAAGTGAAGACAAGGGTTTTTGTTTTTGTTTTGAGATAGTTTTGCCCTGTTGCCCTGGGTAGAGTGCAGTGGCATCATCATAGCTCACGGCAACCTCAAACTCCTGGGCTTAAGCAATTCCCCGGCCTCAGCCTCCCAAGTAGCTAGGACTACAGGTGCCCATCACCACCCCTGGCTACATTTTTTCTATTTTTAGTAGAAATGAGGTCTGGCTTTGCTCAGGCTGGTCTTGAGCTCCCAACCTCAAGCAATCCTCCCGCTTCGGCCTCCCAGAGTGCTAGAGTTACAGGCAGCTAGAGTTACTGCCTGGTTGAAAGTCAAGATAAATTTTGAATAGGCAAGAGGGGACAGAAGAATTCAGGATTATATGAGAGCAACCCCTGAGTGATGGATGTGAATAGGCCTATAGGGCTTCCTGGCTGTGAGACTGACTCTCTGGGCTGGGTGACAGTGGAGAAGGAAAGGGGGGGGAGATAAAAGTGACCTTGAGGACACATATTCAGCCTCTGTAAGTGACAGGACTTAAGGACGAGTTGATAATCTTGGCGACTGGACCAGGCTTTCTCACAGCTTCCTGAGCTTCCTGTCTGGTTTAGGTTGGGCTCCAGGAAGCAAATGCCACAGTCTCAAGGATCTCCTTGGAGAAACAGTTGAAACAGGATGCCATTCATCTCAGAATCCTTTCCCCCTCATGCTCCTTCCTCACCCCTGCAAGATAATAACACTATGTCTCAGAGGCCTTATAAAGCAAAATGAGGACGACCGCATATGTGTGTATACACAACTAACATTGGCAGGTGCAGAAAAACCAAAGGGTCCAGTTGCCCCTTCTGAAATGATTGACACAACTGAATATATTTACTGTTCCAAGTGACCTTAGCATTTTGGATTTCCTTCAGTTGTTCTGTTTAAAGATACAATTAAGCAACAGCTGCGGGGGTTTTTTTAATCCATGCTTTGAGTTCATACATTCAAAGGAGCATTTCCTGTGTCATTCTATAAATGCCGGGCATTGGTTCCTTATTCCGGGAGTGTAAATGATGGGCCCCAAATACAATATGAAATTAGGTAAAATTAGAACGTGGTCATCTTGACCTGATTGTCAAAATATTCATGAATGGTGCTCTTTGATAAAAAATGTTTTTCTGCTTTTGTGGTCTCCTGAGTCTCTTCTGAATCAGTTTGAGGCTTCCTTTAAAATCCTGGGGGAGAGTTAATTTTCCTGCAATCCCATTACTAGGCATCTACCCACAAGAAAAAAATCATTTTATCATGAGGACATTTGCACTAGACTATTTATTGAAATATTTACCTTGTCAATTAATATTTTTCAGTATGTGATGGCTGTCAGATTCTTTTGTGCCAATGTAAATCGCTTCTCTACCTTTAGTTTTTTTTTTTTTTTTTATTGAATGGTAACTATGTACATTAATGCACTTCTGGGGTACAGTCTGGGGTTTTCACACACAATCCGAAACACTTCCATCAAACAGATTAACATAGCCTTTGTGTCATTTTCTTAGTTATTATTTTAAAATGTTCACATTCTGCTCTTAGAAAGATTCTCTTGTACCCTTGTAAGATAAACCTCAGAAGTAATCCCTCCAACCCCCCCCACCCATTCCCCCCCCTTCCCGTATTCTTAGGCTGTTATTAGGTTATAGCTTACATATAAAAGGTATAAATTAGTTTATAATAGGGGCGTGTACATTGGATACTTTTTCTTCCATTCTTGTGATACTTTGCTCAGAAGAACATTTTCCAGCTCCATCCATGTGAACATGAAGGACGTAAAGTCTCCATCTTTCTTTATGGCTGCATAGTATTCCCTGGTGTACATATACCACTACCTTTAATGTTTTAAAGGTTTATTTGTTATTGCTTCACAAAGTGATTTGGCAGAGCTTTTATTTTAATTTATTTTATTTGTAATATAAGAGGGTTCAGGTTAAGGAAGCATAACACGTGACAATCCAAATATAGTAAAAACCAGATTAATTTTGATTTTGCTAAATTATTCATCACTGGTGTCCTTCAGATTATAAGCATCTCCAGTTATTTTTAATTATGTTCAAACAAATGAACTTTTGCTTATTCACCACATTTCAGGGACAGATCTATTGACCAATTTTCTATAAATTTTCTATTTAAAAATCTTAATTTCTCATTATTTCCTATCTTTTGTTAATATTCTGACAAACTTACTGTTGGGACTGGAACATCACAACATGAAGATGGAAGATCTGGGTTCTCTTCTGCAGATCCCTCAATTTTACCTGAGCAAACTTGATCACAAACCTGACACCTGTAGTGTGGGGAAGATAGACTGGTCCCTTTCAGTTCTAAAATAATGTGGTTTGGACTGGCATGCTGGAATTGGACCATACATTGACAAATTTGTGCTTGAGGAGAAACTGAGGAGAACAATATTCTAGCATCTTTCTTATCTCCGTGGCTTGGTGAATGATTTTTTTTCTCATGAAACAGAAGTGTACATATTCTAAAATATGAAAACCACAAGGCCTTTTTTATTTCTTCTTTCTTACTCCAGTAAATAGTTACGTACTGAATCCTGCTACTTTGATCTCTACAATGTGTCTTTTACACCTTTCCCCAGCCCTGATTCATCCTGTTAATCTTATTAATCTCTGCTTAAACATTTGCAAGAGAGTGCAATTTATAAATTAAATTCCAAATCTGGTTCTCACTGAATGGTTTTTAAATAGGCTTTTTATTTTTTTAAATCTATTTCAAAATGACCCTTCGTTATTATCATCTATTCCTGTTTGACAGGTAGCTCTGTGTGGTCTTCAGTGTCGAATGCTTTTGTACTTCTTTGTGGGGTGAAAATCTACTGCCCACTTCCTAGAAGCATGAGTGTGTGAAACTTTGCAAGTTTTCGTGTTTTGTTGATTTTTTTTTCCCTTGCGGAAGTTTAGGATTTGTGTAAGGATGAATGTGAATTAATAACTCGTGTTTACATTTGATCTTGTTCCTCTAGTTAGTTAGTTACCCTTTCACTAATGTACCTGTTCCGAAATAACTTCTGTTTAATTCATTGTGAATTAAAAAGTAGGACAGAATTTAAGGTTTCTTTGTATACAAAGACTTTAAACTAGTGCCTTTAATTTTGCACACACTGCTAATTTATTGGGCTATGATTTCAGTCACTAAAGTTGGCCTCTTGTGGAGCAAAAGGAGCTATTTTTCTTAAGACTGACTTTTTCCCCTTACTTTTTGAGTTGGACTATACTCTGGGTAGTTCCTGGAAATCTGGAAACCTTGTGAATGGTCTGTCAATTTCGAATGTGTCCATCTTCTCTATTACTCTCTAACACAGTGTAGGATCTCAGCCAGCTGACCACTCAGTCCAACCTATTCTATCAGAATATAGTTATAGGTTTGATACTAATCATCTCTACCGTATCAACAGTCATTTAAAAAGAAAGAAATATTTTCAATAGAGAATGGGCTCAGGACTAGAGTGATTTTTATACCTACATGGTCACTTTCCACACACTTTTTAATGAAAGCGACATGAAATTGGAATTACACAGAAAAAACAGCACAAATCAAAATCAATGCAATGCAGTTTATAAAGGTCAAAGCAAAGAAAAGGCCCTGTTCCTAATGGAACAACTGAATGTTTCTGTACTCCCAATGTCACAGCAGTTTTCTTTCAGGCATACTGGTATGTCATGTGACAGCCCATTTAAATTAAATTATGCTCCCTACATGTATGGAACCTATCCCCCCCCCCAAGAGATTATATTTTTGAGAAACCATTGGCTTTAGAGGGGGAAAAAAATACACAGTCTGCTATCAATGAATCATCTTGTCATGTAGTAACTAAGGCATATTGGGCTTTCACATTATACTGGTGGCACCTGTAGGACAAAGATGGACTAGGGAGGACTTTTCTTAGATGACTGAGTTGTGATACAGCTAGTCTAACATGGCACAGTAGAGATTCATCCCAGTGCTTATTGAACAGGTGAGGGGGGCTGGATTCCAGAATTTGATGACTAGAGACACAGGGATATTTTCCCTTAGAAAAGTGTCTCTAAGATAGAATCATCTGAAGTTTTAGATGGAAATGATAAGCTAAAGATTTACACAAATCTGAGCCACACACCCATTGCCACCTTGATCTACAACATGTTATGTGTTTCTTTGCACCATTCGAATGATGCCACCCATGGAAAGTGGTGGAGGACGGGCTCACTGAGTGGTATGTGGATACTATAAAATGTTTCTTCTTTTACCCTTTTTCCTGAGAATTACTTTATTTAAGTGGGTTAATGCAAAGTAAATGTTAGCAGACTTTTTATCTTTCTAAAATGTATGTATTTGATGTCATGTAAAATATAAAATTTGAGCTTTTAACTTGATCCTAAAGAGTACCAATCTGGTTAGCGTGTTTCTGAGATTGCTAACAGGGCCTACTTTTTTGGTGGCTAATGTAAAAAGATACCTGTAATGGACAGGCTTGACCAAAGTATAAAATTTATTCCAACAACATATGAGATTAAAGTATATTCCAACAAAAATAAGATTAAAAAAAATTATTTCATTTCAAATTATATCAGCCATCTGCAGAAATAATTTTTTGAGCCTGTAGGAAATCTCCAGCTATTTCAAAGAATGGGAACAGAAAAGTTGGAGAGATTATTAAGTATAATTTCTTTCTATCTTAAGTATGAGAAAACTAGGCTCAGACAGGTTTGTCTAAATGACCAAACCTGTATTTAAACTAGATCTTTCTGACTAAAAAGGCTCTGAGACCAATGCCAGATTTCCAAAAATTTTCAAACCACAATAAATTTTAAAATTTACATTCACATTAAAATTATTTCAAAATAGTTTTTCTTAATTCATATTCAGTTAGAAATTATTTATCATACAACACTTTAAGTGTCTGGGAAATGTGAATATCCAAAGATCAAAGACCACCCACACTTTTAAAACTTTAAAAATATTATTGTCTTTGACCTAAACAATTGTTTGAATTTTCCATTGAACTTGTGAAAAATGTTGTTTGAGATGGCTGCCTTCCCAGTAGGAAGACACCTGCTCCTTATTAAGAAAGAACAGAGTGGGAAGAGCTTATTAGAAACCAATCGCTGACACACCTTGTCTGCCTCACAGGGGGAAAACGTAGACTCACCCCCACGTTCTCTTTGATCCTGCAGTTGTTACTAATCGTGATTGGAGCTGTGGCAGTTGTCTCGGTTTTGCAACCTTACATCTTCCTTGCCACGGTGCCGGTGATAGCGGCTTTTGTTATCTTGAGAGGATACTTCCTACACACCTCACAGCAACTCAAACAACTGGAATCTGAAGGTATGATGACAATGAGTGTGCAGTGCTCACCTTGGAAAACAGCGACAAGAGCTACTGAGTATTCCTTGTTACTAATTAAACTCTTACATCTTATAAATGATATTTTTAAAATGTGTTTGTCCATAAAAGGAAACTGCATTGCAAATTATGCACAGATTGTTTTTTTTAATGACCATATGACTTCATTTGGATTTAAAACGAGGGTATAGGAAATTCATTTATAATTTACTTATAGCAAATAAATTGAAAACTGATAATCCTGCTGTGCTAAACATTGCTCAGGATCCAAAATGATACTGCACAAAATGCTTCCCTTCGGCTTGGTGTCTTCAGATGCCCTTTCTTTCTGTCCCGGGGCTGCCTTTTGAGGGCCCCAGACGCTATGTGAGCTGTTCGGGGAACATACTTTCCAGGATTAGCCTTGGTGTGGGTGCATTTTTGGAGGATAAATTTCTAGTCTATTTCTGCCTTAGAGGTTACTAGCTAAATCAAGTCACATAAAGTTTCTTAATTGAGATGCTTGAAAAAACTTGTCTTAAAAGAATATTTTGTTTCAGTAGTGATTTAGAATTAGCCAGAAAAACAATTCTTGATGGTAACCAAGAAATATAAGTCAATAATGGTAGCAATTTTATAAGTTTTCGTTTATGGTAGTCAAGTAAAAAAGGAGGGTGACCTATGTTTTTAAAAAAGGCAGCAGAGTGAAAAAGACCTTTTTAAGCAATGGCGCGTGTGGTATGACTGCATTAGTTGGTAACAGATACATTGTAATGTGAAATTCCATTTTCTGTGTACATGATTTACATTGTTTTCTATGGGAATATTTCACAGGCAGGAGTCCAATTTTCACTCATCTGGTTACAAGCTTAAAAGGACTATGGACACTTCGTGCCTTCGGTCGTCAGCCTTACTTTGAAACTCTTTTCCACAAAGCTCTGAATTTACATACTGCCAACTGGTTCTTGTACCTGTCAACCCTGCGCTGGTTCCAAATGCGAATAGAAATGATATTTGTCGTCTTCTTCATTGCTGTTACCTTCATTTCCATTTTAACAACAGGTACCCCCAACTCATTCACTATTTAGCTAAGCATTTGCATTAAAATGTTGACAGTGAAGAAAATGCTTACAGGTTAATAATTTCAAATATCCTTAAATAGATTTTTTGGAGTTTATTAATCAAACAATTTATTGGTTTATTGTTCAACAAATGAGTCTTTGAATTTCTGTAGTCTTATTGTTCAACAAATAATCTCTTTGATATAGAAATTATATATAGTATTTTTTCCTAGCTTTTACAGTTTTAAAATCTGAGACACATAGAGTGTCAGATAGCAGCTATGTTGTTGAAAGAAAAAAATCATCTCTTCATGTTTATATTGATAGAGGGTCCTCGTTTCAAAATTAATAGATCTGTTTATTAAGGAGCTGTCTGAATAGGGAGAAAGAAACATCTGCATTTGTTCACTCATGTGTGCATGAGCACACGCACACACACACTCCCCTCCATGGTAAATTTTGTTCTTTTAGCTACTACTTGGTGAAATTTGTTATGTAATATGAGTTGTGCATGAAGAAAACTGCCACAGAAGGAAAACAACTTAGAACAGAATAAAAAGTGCCATATTTTTCAAATACAAATATTCTGAATTTTAGGACCTTTGGGTGAAAACTACCAAATGTCTCATAATTAGTAAAATAAAAATCTATATAGATAAATGAGTTTCTCTAATTCAAGGAGTTGAATTTCCGAGCTGTGAGAAGTGTTGAAATATGTTGCTATCTGTGACTATGGACAAAGATTCAAAACAAATGCAAAATCAATGCCCAAACTGCAGCTTCTGTGGTGGTGAGAACTCTGCCCAAACAAAAATGCGACATTTGTTGGAGACATACAGGAGGGCCTCTTGGAGACACAGGACGCGCCTTTTGGCCCCTACAGGAGCTGGAGCTGGTAACGGGGGTCAGACGCAGCTCTTCTTCCCGTCTCAGGAGTGCACATCTGGCACGTTTCCATTTCTTTCTGTGGCTGCTTCATTCATTTCTCTCTCTGAAGAGTGGTTTCCCTGGCGTCCTGGGGCTCTGCCACCTGGGCTTTTTGCAGTCCCTCCACTCTGACCCTTGAATTAACAGAACCTGGCTGCTCTTCTGTCCTATGACAGAGTCCTGGAGGAACAGAAACAAACAGGCTTGTTTTGGCGCAGGGGTCCCCCTGAAGTCCACTCAGCCTCTGTGAGGTTAGCAGGTTCGCCACATTTGTTCTCTCGGCTGGGGCAGGGGGAAATGATCTGTGAAAGAGCGGGCACCTGGGCAGGCACATGAACTAACCCTCAGCAGGACAGTCATGTTAGGGAACTTTTTAAAAAGGTTGATTTTTAGGTTCAGAATCTTTAAAATTTTCTTTTTAGTTATTTGAAACAGAGGCTGAGTTACATAAACAAAGATGTGTTAACAATTAATTCAAATTAGGATAACACATGTTTAACATAATGGTCACAAATATGACTGAGTCCTGATTTACTGGGAGCAGTAATCAAAACACTTAGCAAGCAGTAAAGGAAAGAACCTACTGATCAGATCCAATGCCCCGCTGGAGCCGATGTCAGCCGCCCAGCTAACATCAACTCTGGTCTTCAGCAGTGGGAACTCCTACATGGCCCCTGTTCTTCTCTGAGCCCCTTGTTCTCTTCAGGAGTAGATAGACCCAATAATAATACTTACCACACAGGTTTGCAGTATTAAATGTGATAATTTGTGCAAAATACTTAATGTAGCGCTTGGTCTATAATACATACCAAATAAAAGTTGTTACTTGTTATATCACTGGTAAAATTTTATCTTATTTTCATCTTAACTTTTACAAAGCAACATATTAGGGCCTTGGATGAATCTTACCTATTTAAAGGAAACTAGCACTAAAAGCAGATATGTGCTGTGTGTGGTATGCCTTCCATTAGAAGAATTATAGAATAACAATTTCCATTAATATTGATGAATTATTTCTCCTAAGTTTTATGACAATTTTATCAAGGTATAAGAACTCTCAATTGAGACTTGATAACTTAAATTTATAATACTGTCAGTTAAATTCCTTTTAGAAAATTTTTATGGTGGAATGAGATAGAAAAAAAATCCTGGCTATACTACTGAATATCTATACATTTTAAGTAACAGCCCCCTCTATTCTGAAAAACCATTTACTCTAATTAAACACTTAGGCAATCACTCAGGTATTTGTCTTCTCAGGTCAACTAATCTTTTTTTTTTTTTCCTGACATAAAAGGCAATCTTCTCTCTTTCCAAACGGCAGACCCATTAGTTCTCTGACTAAAGCATGAAGCTCTAAAGCCACTTCCTTCCCAACAGCATATGATTAGCAGAGAAAGTCCTCCTTAGAAAGGCAGGAAGCACATCTAAGCGTCTTGCAGACGCTATTCAAACACGCCCTTCTCCCGGCCGTGACTTCTGTGCGGAGGAGCTCATCTGGACTCTTTTTCTCCATTGCCCATTCTAGTGTCTGTTACTCTAATTACTTACAGCATAGTAGTGGAAGAGACAAATGTAGGGCCTGCCCAATACAAACAAGCCTCGAAATACCTGTAACATTTTTTAAAAAGGCAAGTCCTTGCTAATATGAAGGTCGTTACAAAGTTTTGAGACAGTCTGTGTTATGGTCGATTGTTTCACTTCCAAGAACCCTGGTTGACAGCAGTGCCCTTTCTGATTCATGCCTGCAGGTGTCAGCTGGCTTGGCTTATTGGTGTTGCTGGGAGGGCTTCCTTTGTTTCCACTGTGCCACTCGGTCAGCATCAGCTATACAGCTGGGAAGAGCTCACTTTTCCCCGTTAAACAAGTCTCACAGTCTTGAGCATTTGCGGTGGGTTCTCAGGGATCTTACTCCTTCCCGTGTGATAATTTTTCAGTGATTTCAATAAATTAGAAGAGGCCAAACTTCACTGAAAGTTGAGGAGAGGAGTGGGCGACAAGTAAGGCCAGGGACTAAGGAAAACATCTCTGCTGTGGAACAAATGGTTGGTGAGAACAATCGAGTGACATCTGTGAACACTGAAATGGTACTAGAGACTGGACTGTCTGCAGTGTCCAAAATCCTGCCTGATTTTTGTCATGTCAGAAAAGTTTCATCCGGATGGGGGCCTCAGACTTCGACAGATGAGGAGAAGGGGATCCGTGTTGAATGGTGTGAGGACATGCTGCTCATGTCCAACCGGAGGCAAGTCGAGACGAGTTTCAGACATCGTTACTGGTCACGAAACCTGGATTTACCGGTGTGATCCAGAGAATGAGTGTCAGTCGACAGTATGCATTTTTCCTGATTAAAATCCACCAACAAAAGTGGCCCCAGAGTGTCAGAAAGAAAATGATGGCAATTTTCTTGTCTGAAAAGGTCATTTTGCAACGGTCCCTCTGGAGGAACAGAAGACAGTTACAGCTCAGTGGTACACAGCGTGTGCCCACCAGAAGTTCTGGGGAAGCTTCAAGAATGGCAGTCAAGGACAAGACTGTGGGGACCATCTTGTACTGTGATGATGCATCTGCCCCACAGTCAGCTGCACCAGTGAATTCTCGGAGTCCACAGAGGTTAAACTTATGACTCATCTGCTCTGGCCACATGCGATTATTTCCCTTTTCCCTATAGTCAAAAATCACATGCACAAGGCCAGGTGCAGTGGCTCACGACCGTAATCCTAGCACTCTGGGAGGCCGATGTGGGTGGATCACTTGAGCTCAGGCATTGGAGATCAGCCTGAACAAGAGCAACACCGTGTCCCTACCAAAAATAGAAAAATGGAGGCAAGAGGATCACTTGAATCCAAGAACCTCAGGTTGCAGTGAGCTATAATGCCACGGCGTGCTAGTCAGGGCACTACAGTGACACTACCTCAAAAAAAAAAAAAAATCAATGTGCAGAAGAAGTTTCTCTGTTCCTAAAGAATCTGCTCACACCTACAAAAGTGAGCTTACAGCATTTGAAGAAAATGAGTAGAAAGAGTGTTTTCAAAAATGGTTTATAAGAATGCAAAAGTGCATGGAATTTGTGGTGATTATTATGGAAAAATCATATTCAGAATGATTTTATGTTTCTTCATTTTTGTGTATCTTCATTATGCCTTACAGGCAGGCATTATTGCTGCTTGGTAGATGCTGTGGTGAACGGAGACAAAAGGAGGATGGTTACAATCAGCATACAATTGAAATGTAAATGTTTAAAAATGAAATGTTTTATGTGCCATAGGAGAGGGATAAATAAAGTAGTTCATAGAAGAGAGAAATAACACCAGGTTTATTTATATCCTTTTTGTACCTATAGGTGAAGGAGAAGGAACCGTTGGGATTATTCTGACTTTAGCCATGAATATCATGGGGACATTGCAGTGGGCTGTGAACTCCAGCATAGACGTGGATAGCTTGGTAAGTCATTATCGTTTTTTAAACTTTTATGAAAATAGTCAAACATACGTATTCAAAAAGTAGAGGAATAGCTAGATAAAAATTAAATAGCTCAAAAAAATTAAAAATTAAATAGCTCAAAAAAATTAAACCTTACTGATAAATTAAGGGCCACTGTGTATCTGTCTTCAAACTCTTCTCTCTTCTTTTTCTGCATGGATAGCCTCTGTGAGGATCTAAGGCTGCAGTGAGCATTGTTGCATCTGTTTTCTTGTTACGAGTTTTTGTAGGGCACATACATAGAAATGGTGTTACTGGGTCATAGAATTCACCTATGCTTAACTGTACTGCCTGGTGCCAAATTGTTCTCAAATCTGTTGTATCAATGTATACTCCCATCAAAAAGACTCTGAAAGTTCTTACAGCTACATATCTTCAGCAACACTTGGTATTGTCAGACTTTTAAATCTTGGCCATCTGAAGGATGGGAAGTGTTAACTAAAACATAGGGCAGCTTACTACATATTTATTGGCCATTTGGGTTTTCTCTTGTGTTAATTTCCCATTTATATACTCCTGCTCATTTTTCAATGAGGCTGTTTTTTTCTCCTTAATTGATTTGTAGGATTTTATGAATTCTAGATTGTCAGTTCTGTGCCCTTCGAACATAATCCCTTAATCAGTGCCTTGGCTTATTAGTGACATTTGGTGAAAAGCAGCTCCTAGGTTTAATAAAATTAAGTTTGTCAATCTTTTCCTTTATACTTTGTCTTTGGTATCTTTTTTTTTCTTTTTTTTGCAGTTTTGGCTGGGGCCAGGCTTGAACCCGCCACCCCCGGTATATGGGGCTGGCTCCCTACTCCTTGAGTCGCAGGCGCTGCCCACCCTTTGGTATTTTTTTAAGAAACCTTTCCCATCATAAGTTTTCAAATTTAGCAGCGTAATACTCTTTTCTTATTTTTTAAATCTCCACAGTCTTTTTTGTTCCTAAAGTATTTATCATTGCCTTACCTCTTTTGGATTAATCAACTTCACCACACATTTGTAAACTTTATTAGTGTGGACATAGATAAAAGTCCTGGTGATTATTTTGGGAAGGTTTTAGTTATGTTGTTTCTCTTGTCGTGGTTCCCTGGAACACAGAGCCTGTAGTAATGTTCGTGTGCTAACACTGTGTCAAGGGCACAAATCACATGACATCAAGAATGAGAGATAAAGAAAGTGATATAGATTTTCTCAGTTTTATTTAGAAAATCACAATGTGATTTATTTTCAATCACACTGTGTGGTTAGTCTGAATAGGTTCGTCATTGACTTCTTATGTTCTCTATTCTTATATTCACTGTTATGTGTTTGAAATCATTCATTCATTACTGCATTTGGTGGAGGGTCTAGAAACCCAGTGTAAGAATGACTGTACAGCACAATTTTGACACCCTTTATTATTATTAGACTGTTTGGTTAGGTTCCTTTCCCCATTCTCTGAGACATGCCACATATTCTCAAATCACACATGGTCACGTAGCTAGGGAATCTGTATAATCAATTCCCTTCATAAAAAAATTATTATACAAAATCTCTAGAGGAACAAAAACCTTTCCATGCCCTCATCTTGCCCACATGTCTTAATATTTTCTTTAAGCATTTTGATAATGCATTGAACTGTAACTTAACCTGACCATGATTTACAGTCGAGTTGTTTTCTTTTCCTTTAGTGTTATTTTAATTTGACTAATTCTGTTTAGGTTTTGCCATCTTTTCCTCACTTAGTTCTGTTTCAGTCTGGTTTGGAGTTGCGTTTCATAAATGTATGTGAAAATGTTTCTGTTGGCAGTTAATAGGAGGATATTAAATCAATATTATGTTTTCATATATTTATTTCTATAACTTGGACTTTACATTTAAGACCCTCATGGATTTTGCCTGTTTCTTTACCTAAAAATATCTCTTCACCTAGAATATGTACAATTCCTTTCCCTTTGCTGTATTAATTTTCTGGGTTTATGTAGTACTCTCTACACATGGATGCTGAATCCTTATTGGGGCATCTGCATTCTGCATATTCAGTCTTTCTGAAGGTTTCTGTGATTTATTTTCATATGTGTATCCCGGGCTTTGTGACCCGTGCTTTGACACTGTGTCTTTCATCTCACAGCACAAAAGGATCTTTGCAAGGGCCTATTATGTTATAATCCAGTCTATGAAAAGTATCAATATTTGTATTTGATCACATTATAGAAAGTCATATTCTTTTGTTTGAATTGTGAGTTTTCTTTTCCCAGCCCACAAGTGGCCTTTCCTGGGTGCATGTGGGCATTTATCTGGTTACTAATGCTTATCATTCTGCTGTCACTCATGCCGTTGCTGAAGTTACACAGTATTATTGGCCATTTGGGTTTATTTTCATATTGGCATATGTTGAGAGTAGGGGAGGAGATAGATACAGCTGGGCCCTCAAAGTTCGTGCTAAAAGGTCCTTGTGACCTCAGAAGTAAAGACTCAATGTGGTGTATCATTTCACTTTTCTGAGTTGTTAACTGAATTTAGAGGTAATGGTGTAAAGAGGATGTTTTATTTGACATACATTTTTAGTGCTACAATACAAGACTACTGAGACAAAAGATCTTTAGATTTGGAAAGAATATTTTGTTTATTTCATCTGACCTAGTTTAGAGAAAGACGAAGAGTCAAAGGTCAACAGAGTTTATAAACGAATATTCTGAGGTTATAAAAATGGCAGTGTGGCTATTCCTTTACCTCCTACCTGTTGTTTACACTCTTATGCCTAGATTTCTTTAGCTTTCAACTAATAAAGGTAACATTAATATGATAAAACTTAGCTTGAGGCTTGGCACCTATGGCTCAACTGGCTAAGGCACCAAATCCAGCCCGGGCCCTCCAAACAACAATGACAGCTGCAACCAAAAAATAGCCAGGCATTGTGGCGGGTGCCTGTGGTCCCAGCTACTTGGGAGGTGGAGGCAAGAGACTCGCTTGAGCCCAGGAGTTGGAGGTTGCTGTGAGCTGTGATGCCACGGCACTCTACCCAGGGAGACAAGTTGAGGCTCTGTAAAAAAAAAAAAAAAAAAAAAAACTTAGCTTGAAGTTACTTTGTATTTATGATGACACATCTGAAATATCAGCACTCGAATGGTCCAACAAGCCTTTTCTAACTTTCCTAATAAATTCCTTATTGTATTACCTAAATGACCTCTTCCTTCCTTCTTGTCTCTTAGGTGCTCTTTTAATTCCACCCCTTTCATTTTTCAGCCAGTGACTTAGCTATTTCTTCTTAAAAAATAAAAAAAAATTGATGCAACCAAAACAAATCCCTCATCTCTTTCCACCTGTTGCACCAGTCTACTGCCCCTCTCCTCTCAAGCTCCTCCAGCCTCTCCGTGTTCTTGCTGCCATGTTCAGGCCAGTTTACATGCAATCATGTCTGTCCTTATGGGACCTTTCTCGGTAGCACAAAAGTAACTTCCCTTGATCCCCAGCTACCACCCCATTTCTTTGACCTATTTACAGTAAAACTTTTAAAGAGAGTACCACTTCCCATCTCCTCCTCCTATTCTTTCCACAGCCGCCTTCATTTCATTTCTGTCACACTCACAACTCATGACCAACATCTGGCTAGGGAGCCAATTTGTCTCCTTTGACCATTCAGCAGTTTTATGTGATAGACAAATTCTTCTTCCATAATAATTCCCATCTTGTGTTCATGACACCAGACTCGTCTCATTTTTCTGATACTTCTGTGGCTCCTTCCTAGTCCTTTTTTTCTGGCCCCTCCTTTCCTATAGTCTCTCACATTCTCTTGAGCTGCTGTTATCTAATTCCATGCTTCAGAAACCATCTCACAAGGAATCATAACTTCATATCTTTAGGTTAGAAGTCCTACTCTCTAAATACATATCCAGCTACCATTTGACACCTCCATATGTTCGCAAAACACAGTAATAGATTGTCCTTCAGTACACCTGACATTTTGGGGAGTGAATTCCTGCTCATTGTCTCTTGAAAATACACCTGGGGTCTCAAGAGACCATTAAAACAGGACACACGTCTGGTTCTGCTTACTAATATGCCTGGCCTTATAGGGAAGTTTGGGGAAAAAAGTTATCTGAACGTTGTCATCTTATGAATAATACAGTTTAATAGATTGTGAATCACTCCAGAAACATAAAAAACAGCAAAATTATCAGAGCTTAATTTAATAATTCCCATCAGAAAACCCCATGTTAGAGGGTTTCCAGGTATTTCAATTGATAGCTCAATGTTTTAAACACTGGTGTGTCTAATTCACTTTTTGTTTTAGTGTAAATTGTGTCCCTCTATTTATTTCAATTTTATTTTTCATTCTATTCCCTAGATGGGGTGAAAATAGAAATGTTAATAGTGCCAATTCCTTTTAACTCTATACCATAGGTACCATATGAATTTATAGTTGTTGTTGCTAAGCTATTTATCATGTATTTTTACCTCCTTAATTAACAAAGCAGTATACTAGTTTATTTTCTTTGGAGTCACAAGATGTCTGCCACTTTTAGGACCATAAATCTTTCTTTTCTCCTATTCCTAGCTACTTAAGCATTATGTAACTTAAATGGACAAGGCACACTCAATATCTGCCTTCATGAACAAATGTAGATTAAGTATATAAATAAGAGCTAGAAATGGTGACAAGATAATGCTTCAAACTTAGCCGTATTAAGCCATCTGGGGACTGAGAAGTTGCTCACCTTCACACTTTTTTGTAGATTTAAAGAACACCCTTGACAATTCATGTCTTTTTAGGATTGTCTACCACATAGAAAGCACAACTGAAAGATCTGAGCATGTGAACACTCTCCTGCTTCTTTAATTCCCCAGGTGAAGCAGCAGATAAACCACCTCGTTTCCATTAAGTCTCTGCTTTATCTGACTGCGCTCCTGATAGCACACAAGGAAGGGAGGAAGCCACCAGGGTGAGCCGAGAAGGCAGCGCACTTGCAGGGCTCAAATCTAGGTTCCTGTTAACA